GACTCTCCTCTGTGTGTCGACCTGGAAAACCGTAACTTGCGCGTGCGATATCACGGTCAACAACTGCTGCCACGTCCGCTCGACCTCCCGCCGAGCCTCAATACTCTCGTTTGCGTCGGTGCATGTACCGAACCACTTCTCGATCTTGCCAGTCTCCTTGGACTTGAAAGGCAGTGCGCGGACGATAAACCACTTCCACTCGCCCTCTTTGCTTCGGCACCGGTATTCGGTCACGAACGGCTCGCCCGTCTTGACGGATTCCTGGAACAGTCTATGTGCCTCAGGGACATCCTCGCTGTGGACAGCCTTCATCCAGCCATGACCAATGGAAGCATCCTCCGTCATCCCCGTATACTCATACCACCGCTTGTTGTAGAACTCAAGGTCGCCATCCGCGTTGGTCGTCCAGACAAGCTGGGGCATCGCGTCACACATGATCCGGAACCGCGCGTCGTCCTCCTCTTTCATGCGGGTAAGCATCTGCTCTATACTCCTACCGGTAGGCTGCGTTGCTGGTGCCGCTTCGATGGGATCCGGTGCTTGCGCTGTTGGCGTCTTCGGTGACGGTCGTGCTGACGGCGAAGAAGCGGGTTCGATGTCGGTAAAAGTGAGCGTAAGGCACTTCTTGTTGCTCTCCATTTCGAAAGGTGTCGCAGTCATCTTCGCACGTTGCTGCGACGCCGCCGTCATGGACTGTGACTTCGGTTCCGTCAGAGTTTTGCTCGCCTTTTCGCTCGAGATAATCACGTCGACGGCAGCTGGTTGTTCCGACTGTTGCGTTTCCTGTTCGGCTGTTGCTGAGCCCATATCTTCAGCCAGGTCACAGCCACTGTCGTGATGAGGGGGCCGCGGATCGAGTCCATCGGTTTTGGGGCCCGTTCCTTCGGCTGTTGTCGGTATCAGTGAGTCTAAATACTGCTCCATGTTCATAGACACAGATTGTTCACGATCCTGGGCCAGCTCGATGCCAAGCTCCGACACTGTGTGACCCCGTAGCAGGTCCGGTATCGAGGTTGTGTTCTCTTCGCTTGGCTCCTGGATCATGCCGAGCATTCTTCCCATCGACTCGTTTGCGAGGACAACTCTCTTCAAGCTACTCAAGACCAACAGTGGTATGGGGAGGTACTGCAAGGCTGATAGGGCGAGGTGGCCGGGTATCGTATGCGGCGTCACTGTCCGCGTAGAACCTTGAGACGCAATCGAGCCTTCGGTTATACTAGGCCGGCCGTCATACGGGCCAAGTTGAGCAGCGGAATGTGATGGTGTGTCGGATGTTGTTGTGAGGGTCTTCGGTTCCGGGTCTGCCGCAGGTTCGTCCTCATGGTGGCTGTCCGGCGAGCTCCATCGCGAGTCGACGCGATGGCCTAGCTCGGCCTCTTTCGACTGTGATGGGCTCGTGTGTCTCGGCATATTCGTCGACCCGACACCTTCTGTCTCCTGGACCTCTTCTCGCTTCTTGACAGCGTGGTCTTTCATGGTGGGATATTTCATGGGGGAGCATACTCCGGAGGCATCGGTATATCAGGGGCTCCAATACTCGTAAAATCCAAGAAATGATGAAGTAAAATCTCGTGACAGACTCAGCTGGCAAATGAGGTCGTCGACAAAAGAGAAGCAAGTATTGTATATGGTGGAGGGAAGTCGGTCATGGCCAGATCCGATCAACAACCGCGCTGCCAAGCTTCCTCGATGGCACGGTCGGTCTCAACCAAGGACCTAACGATGACACTCGACAAAGAGTCCCAGTATTGATAACAGACTGAAAGAAAACAGCTATGCAAGCTGAAAGGAGAAAATAAACAGAAAGCTGTGAATTCCGAAATCGATACCCTGAAGATCGGTTGTGACAAGCGGAGATGAGCCCGAAGTTCTAGATCATCCCAGAGACAACAGATTTGTGTGCGTGGGACGAAGGGGAGCAAAACGGCAGTGGAAAGGTACATGAAGGTTGAACAGGGTCAGGTGTGGTGCCAGGGTTGGGTGGCTGGTATCCTCACTTGGCCACAGCTTCAGCCAGCCTGTGTCGTCATAAACAGGATCTTCAGTTGCCCTTTGGTAAGCCAACCGTAGGCTTTTTCAGGTATAGTCACCCCAAGCTGCATCACTTGGAGTCCTTGATTGAAAACTAAACTGAGAAACGGAGGATCAAAAACCTTAATGGGCCCTTCGTGTAAGTCTCCTCACCTTGACAAGAGGTTCAAAGCTGTCCACAACTGTGTGTGAGATGACGCAAATGCCCTGCCTCTCCAAGCGGACTACCGTGTCGCGTGACTGGACCCCTTCTTTTCTGGCGAGTTCAAAGGCATCGTTTGGTGGAGCCCCGGACGAAAAGTGTTCCAGGGCTGTTGTCAAATCTGCTGGGATGCGGGATTTCAGGGTTCAATGGGATTTGTTGGTTGCCGATCCCCTGGCCGAGACCCCTTCTTCTGCTCAGAAAACGCGAGCCAACAGGACCCTGAAGAGTGAAGATCTTCTCCATTCTACACGTGTAGCCAATGTGCTGTATCCCAAGCCCAGCAGCTCAATCTCGCATCGCAAGTTGCACGATCAGACGGAGAAAACACTGGGCCAATCTGTCTGCAGAAGCCGTTGTGGTCCCGTCCGATGTGTCACACCACCAGTTGTGTCCGGCGATCGAAAAGTCAAATCCCATGGCCGCACAGACAAAAATGTCCGACCCGCAGCATCAATACGTCATATTATTAAGCCAACAATGACGTAGCTTTCTCTTTGCCATAACACCACATTCGCAACCCTTTTGGAAGCCATGGAAGCCTTTTCCGTTACGTGTTTATATGCCGCGTGTGCTCCCAGTAGTCCGGAAGGTAGCAAACCCTGTAAATGCTCATCATCGTACGACGATGATGCAGTCCGTTACCTTGGCGCAACCACCCTTCTTTCAGCCTCCTTTGGACCCTGAATATCACATGAACGAGTCACGACAGCTTCCATGACAGGTTCGGGGCTTTAGCTCATGTTGTACTGCTCGGTAACTGAAATTGTATGGAATAATACTATTCGGGTATCGTATATCATCATCATATCATCATCCCCTTGATGAGCTGCAAAAAGTGAGCTCACTACGAGCTGTCCTTCATCCTCCCGCACGCAGCGCAAGTCCACCACTGCCGCTCCATGTGCTGGCCGCAGAAGGAACACCGCCATGTTGCCGGCTTGGGATTCGCTGGAGCTGCCGCAGCCTGTTGTGTCGTCCCTCTGCTTCCACTTGAGCCGGTTCGCTTCGCCTCCGGGCTCTTCGTCAAGTCGACGGCTGCTCTCGGCCGCTTCGCCGACGACTTCTGCATCTGCTTTGTCTGCTCCTCGCTCCTCTGCGTACCACACGCATCGCAGCACAAGAACGTGGCCGGATTGCGCAGGGTACAGATGTTGCACTCCCACTCGTCCGTCGGTGTAGAAGAGGCAGGTTGCGGCGTCGGCTTTGTCGCGAGGGGAACTGGCGGGGGAGTTGATGACGTCGGTGTAGACCCGCCAGGCGCCCCGTTCGAATAGGAGTTGTTCGTAGCTGGATTGCTCCGGCTCCCACTGGCCCGTCCCGCCATCAAGGCACCGCCCCCGTTACCCTCAGGGTTCTGCTGACTAGGCGGGATGTACGAGCTGCCGTACTTGGCCTTCTCGTCCTCCTGGACCAGCTCCCAAAGCGCCTGCGCGATAGCCGCGTCGTTGGCAGCGTCCTCCTCGGCCTTCGTCCTGAAGCCGTTGCGGGAAGCCGTGTCCGAGATCTCGATAATCTCCTTCTCGTTGACCTTCTCGTTTCCGCACCCCTGCAGCGTCCTGTTCCGCCGCTCGATGGCTCCGACAATGACCCTTCGCATATCCTCGCCGGGTCGGGGGCCGGCGCCTCCCAGCCGTTGCCCCGAACCAGCCGACAGGACTTTTCGCTTCTCGGCAGCGGCACGCGCCAGGCGGCGGGCTTCCTGCATAGGGACCTGCCCTCTACCGCCCAGCCGGTGTCCTTCCGAGAGGAAGCCCTCGCCGGTGTAGCCCTTGCGGACCAGGCCTTCGTGCTCGTCGCGCAGCTGGTCCCACAAGGCGTTGAACTTGGCGTCGTGGGGCCCGTGGACGATGTGGGATAGCTCGTGAAGCATGGTGTCCGTGACCTGCTCTATGGGCAGGAACTGGTTGCGGTCGCCGGGGTAGCGCAGCCGGAGGAGGATCTTCTGGCCCCTGTTGACGTTCAGACCTGTGAAACAGTTAAAAAATCGTACTGGCAATGGGGAGATGGGGGATACATGCCTAGTAAGTTTTGCTGATCCGGATAGAACTCAGCCAGCTCCTTGACTGTCCATCCTCGCGCCCTCATGATGGGCTTCACCAGTGAAGCGATTTTCTTGATGGTGTGCAGGGCATCCTTCTCACGGGGGAAGTCCTTCAGATGCGAGAAGGAGAGTACGAGAGGATCGTGTTCGCCCATGTTGTCGACTGCAGTGCAGATTCTTCTGATGTGCTGTGGCGAGTATCGGAGACACAGCTGGAAGGTTTTATCGTGTTTGACTGAGCCAACGGAGAGGTTGCGGGAACATATCAGTCCTCAAAGGGCGAAAGGGAAGATTGAATGAAACAAAGTAAAGGATGTGAATGCCCAAGACCTGCTTGTCATAAACAAACGGAACAGAGTCAAGGAAACGTCTAGAAGAACAAGAGACACATTGTAAGCATCTCACTTTCACAAAGCTGTCTTTGACTCCCCTTTAAGGTGTGGTGAATGGGCAGCCGCGTTTGGCTTGGCCTGACGTTGCCCGAAAGCTGCCTGTCATTTGAGTTTGCCCCTCAGCTTCGTCAGCGCCGCCGCCTCGCTCGGGCGCTGAGCTACCCTATAGCGAAGCAGCTCGCCGTGTATCTCACTGTGTTGGATACCCCAACTTACCCTACAGCAGCTTGGCAAAACTCCAAGAACTCCCCGACGGTCGTCTCAGCTCACAAATTTGTATAAGAACAACATCAAAGCTGCAAAAAGTGTCTCTAAAAAGGCAAAAAGAAACTGACCCCGACCCGACTTGCACGGATAACCTTCTGGAAATTCCAATTTCTGGAATCAGATGCGCTACTATTACGCCACGGGGCCTCTGTTGTTGAGAAGGCAGGTTGCTATTTGCTTTTGTATATGGCAAGCGGCTGCTCGCAGATGAAAGAAAGCACGATGACCTCCCGTGGCAGTGAATTGGGAAGGGGCGGTAGACGCTATCGGTCAGGGCGGGACCCGCAGTTCTACATCTGCCTGGAAGGCTGGGCCCCAAGCTCTTACTGACTCTCTCTTGCTCATCATCCTTCTCGTTGTCTCGAAGCCCTGTCGCATTCGGAAAGACGCCCGCGGCGCATGAAGCTGTGTACAGCTCGGCCCCCTGATCGACGACGATATCCCTACCCGCACGGTTGGTGCACAGCACACAGCAGGAAGCCCGTGGTTCGTATGTCTATTCGAAGAGACAAGGGTGAATCACCATCTCTTGGCTTGAGGCTTGTCTGGCTTGTGGCAGTTGAACTTCTCTTCTTTGCGATCCGTTCAACTTGACCGTCATCTACGCACTCATCATCGGACGCCATGCTTCGAGTGCTGTCGCCATCGACTCATCGAGGACCTCTGATAGGGCTGGTTTCATGTCAAACAGCTCCTCCGACAGGCGCCGCAATGATTGGCGATGCGCTGGCCGAGTTTGGCCCCCGCAATCTGTATCAGCCATGTGGCCGTCCAACAGTCACCAGAAACGGACTTTGTTACCGCCGGCTGCTCCTCCGAGGCCTGGTTATTTCCAGCCCTTTGTTGTTTGTCATCCAACACTTTGGTTTCGAGATCCGCGGACTGCTACCATCCTCGACAACGGAGAGGTTCGCCGCAAACTCGCAGCATATTAAACCGCCCATTAATGATCGACTGGCCTGCATGTCTCGACTCCCTGCTAACGAAGGCTCAGATACACTGCAACCCAAAACCTCCCAAAGCACGCAAGGGCACGCAGACAAGCTTTCGTCCAATCCCCTGTTCCCCCGTACTTGGCCTGGCAAGTGCCGGCTTGGTGTCGCCTCGTCCTCTTGGAAGCTCTCAATGCCTCATCAAGGGAGACTCAAAACACAACGCTTGGCTGTGTCCCTTATATACCCTTGCCCCGGTCATGATAGGCTCTTCTGCTGACGACCGCGGATCTGTCACTGTGAAACAATCTACTCTAATGGTCATAATGCATAAGACGGACAGTCAGTTGACCATACGTCGTAGAGGTCTGGTCCAACGTCCATCTCTTGGCTCTTTATTCTCGCTCTCTTCTCCATTTCTCTCCTCCTTCAGTTCTCTGTGTCTTGGCTGGTCGTTGTTCATAAACTAGTTTCTGTCGTTCCTTATCCTGTCGCTCACTCCTTTCTCTCGTGCTGCTCCTGGCTCTCATCCCTCCAGAAGCTGCCCATTCTGCTGCCCCTCCTTTACCCAACATGAAGCTCTCGTTGACCACCGCCGCCGTAGCGGCTTCCATTCTTTCATCAGCCGGCCTGGTGGCAGCGGCTCCGAGGGTCAAGACGAACTCCTTGGCCGCGTTAGAGATATCCGTCCTTGGCGGCTCGACGTTCAAGCTCCACCAGGCGCCGAACGCCCACTTCCGCTCTCGCGGACAGGGACCCAGGGCGCTCGCCAAGGCGTACCAGAAGTATGGCGTAGGCTTCCCCGACGGCCTGCTCGAGGTCGTCTTGGAGATCCTCAAGGAGCTTGGCGTCGATGTCCCCGACAGGGCTGGCGGGGGTTCTGATGGTAATGGTACCGCCAATGCTGGGCAAGGTAATGTCAACCATCCCATCTAACTCACCAGATATCCACACTAACACCCATATTAGGAGAGGCAGCTGCGGTCCCAGAGCTATTTGACACCGAATACCTCACTCCAGTGCAAATAGGCACACCGCCCCAAACCCTCAACCTGGACTTCGACACCGGCTCCTCAGATCTCTGGGTCTTCAGCAGCCAAACGCCCAAGACGCAGGTGACCAACCAGACCATCTACAACATCGAGGCCAGCACGACCGCGAAGCTCCTGGATGGCGCCAAGTGGAGCATCCGCTACGGCGACGGGAGCGGCTCCTCGGGCGTGGTGTACATGGACGTCGTCGAGGTAGGCGGCATCACCGTCGCCCAACAGGCCGTCGAGGTTGCCACGCAGGTATCCTCCTCCTTTACCGGCGACGGCAACTCCGACGGTTTGCTTGGGTTGGGGTTCAGCAGCATCAACCAAGTCTCGCCTACCAAACAGAAGACCTTCTTCGACAACGCCATGGCCGACCTGGCGATGCCGCTGTTCTCTGCCAATCTCAAGGCTGGCGAGCGTTAGTCTCTCTTCCCCCCTCCCTCCGTCCCCTTGTGCACCATATACTAACCACACCCACCAGCGGGCAACTACAACTTCGGCTTCATAGATCCAACAGAGTTCTCAGGCTCCCTAACCTTCATCCCCGTAAACACGACCCAAGGCTTCTGGCAGTTCACCGCCACCTCCTACACCGTCGGCTCCTCCCCCACCGCCACCCCCGTATCCGCCCCGCACCAAGCCATAGCCGACACAGGCACGACCCTCCTCCTCCTCCCCGCCGCCATCGCGAGGGCATATTATGCCCAGGTACCGGGAGCGGTGAACAACGGTTCCGTGGGGGGATATGTGTACGCCTGCAACACCAAGCTGCCCGACTTCACGGTTCAGATAGGGGAGTATAAAGCCGTCGTTCCGGGGGATCTGATCAACTTTGCGCCCGTGGATACGGATGACTTCGCCACGGCGAGCAGTTGTTATGGTGGCATACAGGCCGCCACGGGCCTGCCGTTCGCGATTTACGGGGATATCTTTTTGAAGAGCCAGTTTGTCGTCTTTCATGGGGGTAACGAGCAGCTTGGGTTTGCGCCCAAGCCGTTGTAGGTGGATTCGCTGGGAATGGGGTGGGGGTGGAAGGGGGGTTAGTAGGGGTTAATCATGGTCGATTTGCTTTGGGGTATATACTGCTTTATGCATGTTTGTCGAGTGTGCAATGATATAATCTTACAGAAGTCCTTACGACCTGTACTGTTGTCGTGTCCTACCTAGCCTTGGAGGTTATATCGTGTCATCACCCGGCGCAGCATTGTTCCGAGTGTCTGAGATGGACGATGTGCGACGGAAGTCCGCCATTCGAAACTTGAAACTGCCGCCTTGCGCCTGGAGTGACACTTGTCTCAGACCTGACTTAGCCTTGATCCGTCTTCCTCATCACGTGTCATGAGTGATTAGTCGCCCTTAAGTATGAAAGGGTCTGCTATCGTTGAGTGTTGTCATCTCTCTACCTGTTGCTTCCGGAGAGCTTGGAGCGAGCCGTTTGTTTGATATAAGACGAACTCTTCGGAGTAGAGGCGTTTTTAACGCGTTGCGTCTGATATGAACCCAGCAACGAGGCATAGTCTGTCACGTGCTTGTAGGAAGAAGTCCAAGTCTCGATTCGACGGAATTTGTTCCCATTGTCGGCGGCATATGTCGGGTAGGCCGTGACATTGTGTAGTTTCTGCCATTATTGACGTCAAAGGTGACGACAGCGGCAGGTGAATTCGATATGGGGTTCTCCAGATAGGCAGAAACGTGAAGTTCGACGGCCGAAGTAGTGCATGAGCTGGTATTGTCCGCCGGCACAATGTCCGTGGCGGAAACCGTTGAAGAATCGGAACAAGTGACCTTGCTTCTGGCGAAGGTTGGGCTTCTCCCTCGAAGGCCGATGTCGAACGGTATCCGGACTGCGAAGGCCTACTATCGGTTACCTCTTATGGGTACATCTGGGCTAACAGTCAGTTTTGTTTGACTCTGAGAAGTAGGTAAGTTTGAAGATCTGGATGAGAGGAGGCACTGAATCAGCTAGTGCACATTGGTTGCGAGGCGCCGCATTAGGAACCATTCTCGGACAGGCAAGTGGAGAGTTGCGTAGCAGCATCTATGCTTGTGGCGGGTTTGGGTGACGGAGGGCACGCAGTGGGATAAGTCAGTTGGTTCCTGTGACCTTGGCCGCTCGGCTGATCCACCGCAGGTATTCCCCTGGCCTGAAGTCGGTCGAAGGTGCGGCGAGAAGAGTCTGGCGAGAAATCCCTCAGCAAGGAGATACGAGAGTGAACTCCTGGATGATGTGGAGGGTGCCGAGGGAAGAGAATCGCCCGGGGAGGGAAAGGATGGATGGGGGTCGAAGGACAACTCGGCGAGACCTGCGGTTGAGTCAACCCCATGAGCCGCGAGATATTTAGATGTGGTAAGTCAGGTGCATATTCTGCGCATCTGGCTTCATCTGGCTGCAGCGAGGTCGGGCCTGTTGGGCAGAGTTCACAGGATCTGCACCACCAGAGACTCGCCTCGTCAATGAGTCTCTGCATAACCCGTGGCTTGTAATCTGCCATAGAACAGGCATGAAACGGCAAGTTCGCAGACAGTATCTCAGCCGCCACTTGACGTAGTTCTTCACACGTCCTCCATCTCGGCGTATTGATTGCATATATTTGCAGATGTAAGCTGCCTGGACTCGTCGGGAACGGCGTCGACGTGGTACACCTCCCAAGGAGAGGTTCCATCCGCCAAGATTTAATGCAGCGGATGCGGTACTGCGGAACACGACATGACCTGTGATAGGACGGGAAAAGAGCGATAATTGACCTGCAGCGGAATAGGGGACTGACAAGTGGACATGCATACCGCAGCCACTAGGCTCGGTGAAAAGGCTGGTCGACGAGTTAATGCCGTGCTTGACCGCGTTGAGGCCCAAAGTGAGCACTCCTACCGAGTGTGAGTAGCATGTCGAGGTGGCTTGAACTTTTTCCTCAGTGACAGCCTATGACCCGGATCTCGGTGGTATTGTCTCCTTGGCAGGAACCTGACCGGTGTAGCGATATGACGCAGTGTAGAAAACCAGCCGGACCTGATCGCCACGCTAGAAGTCCAGACACATCTTGCGGACAGCGCCTTTTGCCTGAGGCGTAGACAAGTTACGGAACTTCAAAGAGGCGCCGGACGTAACAACGGACAGTGGTTCCAACGTGGCGAGGCTGACCTTGACGGCCACTGATAGCGGTAGTGTCTTGAGCCGGTG